GTGCACAGTGCATTTGTGTGTAGTGAGAGGGCGTGGCATCAGTGCACAGTGCATTTGTGTGTAGTGAGAGGGCGTGGCATCACTGCACATTGCATTTGTGTGTAGTGAGGGGGCGGGGCATCACTGCACATTGCATTTGTGTGTAGTGAGGGGGCGGGCATCAGTGCACAGTGCATTTGTGTGTAGTGAGAGGGCGTGGCATCAGTGCACAGTGCATTTGTGTGTAGTGAGAGGGCGTGGCATCAGTGCACAGTGCAATTGTGTGTAGTGAGAGGGCGTGGCATCACTGCACATTGCATTTGTGTGTAGTGAGGGGGCGGGGCATCACTGCACGGTGCATTTGTGTGTAGTGAGAGGGTGTGGCATCACTGCACATTGCTTTTGTGTGTAGTGAGAGGGTGGGGCGTCACTGCACATTGCATTTGTGATTTTGTGTGTAGTGAGGGGGCGGGGCATCACTGCACATTACATTTGTGTGTATTGAGCGGGCAGGCGTCACTGCACATTGCATTTGTATGTAGTAAGGGGGTGGGGCATCACTGCACATTGTATTTGTGTGTGGGGTGGAGCATCACTGCACATTGCGTGGGTGTTTAGTGAGGGGGCGGGGCATCACTGCATATTGCATAAGTAAGTGGGTGAGTGCATTTGTCGTATTTCTTTTGATTTGGTTTAAAAATAAAATCTTGAAGTACTTTGTTTATTTCTGTAGTGTATTTATTCAGGGCGTCTTTCGATTTTGAAAAAACCTGACGCATTACACACAAAATTACAGATAATGACACTTTACAAAGGATATACAATCAGTGACCCAAATTGTCGGGGTTTGTGATTTCTGTTTGAAATCCGAGTGATTTCCTGTAGTTTCCTCAAAGATTTTAACCTTGCGAGACCAAGATACGAGTCACAGAGGCATGCCGTGAGCGGCTAGCTAACCCATCTGTACACATACTTAATATGGAAGAGGAATGTTAGGTGGGGAAATTGGTCATGGCTAGGCTCTGATCGACTGATACGATGGCCATGTACGGTCATATGTTTGCCTTATATGGACTAGTAAACTTATCAAACAACTGCCCTGGAATCGGTCCATTTTATTTCTTAAAGAGAAGATAAAAAAATGATATTTTTATCAACAGACTCTTAAAGTTGGCTTCATGCAGGTAATTTTATAGTGTAATTACTTTATGTGAAGAGTGTCAAAGGAATGGTTTGAAGTGTTTTGTTTGTTTACTTTTGTCTGGCTGGTCCAAAGTATGATTTTCAATGATATGTTTTTTTAATTATGTTTATTGTGGAATTTGTGGGTGGATACTTGGACCGATATCAGTTCCAATAGTTGACAGAATACAGTCCACCGACACCGGCGGCTTACATAAAGAGATGCAGGGTGATAATTACAGACGGTTCAAATGTCATTGATAAGTGGTGTTTGCATACATTGCATCAATGATGTGTCTCGTTGTTACACTTATTGTAGGTACGCATTGATGGTATTTGCTCATCACCTTCGGTTGAAGGTACATGTATTTGTTTCCTCAAGGTCAAAAGATAGAAGTGGGGTTGGATGGGAGTTGAATCCTTCGATGCTCAAGGGGTTGGGGAGGCGGGTGTGGCTGTCCGGATTTCATATTGGCACTATTAAGGTCCCTTCCAGACAGTGTGTGATGTTAAATGTATGATCAGCAAATAATGAGTATGGACATTCAGGCTCTGATACGGAGCATGGGGGTAAATGAGGAGAGGGAAAACATGGGCGGGGCATGCCCCTCCCTCCACACACTGCTGTTCTTGATGTTTTGAGAAACGCTGCACTACAATGAAGGACGTTGCCAAAACCTTACATCACTTTTTCATGCATTAACTATTCTGTCATTGTATCCAAGCAGTAACGGACTTGTTATCAACGTCACTGCACTGTCAGCTGCAATCATAACTTATATCAGCCGGTGCAATCATTCTAATATAAAATGGTCATTTCATGGATTTTATGTATGAATAACGCAGCTGATCTTTCCTGCTTCATGAAGCACATTCCGTCCTACTTTCTTGTTGACTGATAAATGTACTTTTAATTTCAAAATGTTTGTGACTGAATGATCCATAAAATCAATTAACCCTTACCCAACTGGACCCTCCAACGCATGCCATTATGTGCCTTAAGAAAATGGCATATGTTTTTTGCACGGCCCTCCAATATCTGCCATGTCATTTCAAGGGTAACTGGACAGGCACTCCAATACATGCCACAGAGAACAATGAGAGTCCTCTGATAACAAAGTGAGTGCCCCCAGCTGGTCAGTATCAGGCACCCTCCAGGGCCTCCAACTCCTGCCAATTGGAGCCTTCACTGTTAAGACAAACTATCTGCCAATAAACTGCAGCTGGAGGGCATTGGCATAACCAACTGACATGCAGTAAACTACCCTCAGAGAGTAAGGGTTAAGGCTTGCAATTTAAAGCTTTAAGCTCCAAATATTCAAAAGGAAGAAGCGAATTTCAACTTGTATCATTAAGTTGGTTGAAATTTTTCCTAGTCCTAGAGGGCCAGCCCAGTATCGTCTTGATAGCTTACGGACTGACTGACTGACTCCTCCCACCCCCCCCCCCCAACTAACTGACTGACTGTCACTTGTGACTAAGACTATGACTAAGTGTCCCCTGTGACTGGACCAGGACTAGGTTTGCAAGGCTTGCCAATTCTTGCCTTTCAAAGACAGGCATTTCCTAAGCCATACTCATAGTGCTTCTCAGCAAATTGTATTTCTTGCCTCGGCCCCATGTCGCCCTTGGATCTGGTGGAGATATATTGATGATGTTTTTTTCATCTGGACCAGTGATAAGGACAGTCTCTTGACCTTCACTAACCACATCAATTCCTTCCACAGAACCATCAAATTCACATCGGAGTTCTCGGCTCACCAAACCCACTTTCTGGATGTCACCGTCCGCAAGCAAGGCAACTCACTAACCACTGACCTGTATTCCAAACCCACAGACACCCACCAGTACCTCCACTCCTCCAGCTGTCACCCCAGGTACTGCAAAACTGGCATAGCGTTTAGCCAGGCACTCAGACTCAGAAGAATTTGTTCTAATGATTCTGATTTCTCCCGCCATACACAGATACTGAGGAACAACTTGGTGGCCAGGGGTCACAGCTCTCGCCAAGTTCATCGTGCCATTGCCAGAGCTGAAGCTATCCCCAGAAATCTAGCTCTCACGGGAAAGGCCCCTGATGCCATGGCCAAACCCATGATTCCCTTGGTCACCACGTTTCACCCCAATCTCCCTCCCCTTCGCAAAATCACTAATGACAATCATCATATCCTCCACACTTCAGATCGCCTTGCCCGCGCCATCCCCAACGGCCCCACATTGGCTTACAGGCGTCCTCGAAATCTACGGGACTTGATTGTTTGAGCTGAAGTCCCATCCTTAGATGCATCCCCTCCCACCCAGCATGGTACTTTCAAGTGCAGTTCCAGATGTGTTGTCTGCCAGATTCATATCCAGGAGTCTGACTCCTTTTCTGGCCACTCTTCTGTCACTACCCACAGAACCATTGGTAACATCACTTGTAACACCTCTAATGTCATATATCTCATTTCTTGCAGGGTCTGTGGAGTGCAGTATGTAGGTGAGACTAAGAATACGCTCAAGAAGCGTTTCTATGCCCACCGGTCAACGGTCAACACCAAGAACTAGACACCCCTGTTGGTCATCACTTCAACCTGCCTAACCACTCCATTTCTGATATGATTTTGCAGGGCATTGAATCTCTTGGCCATCGCAAGGACTCAGTTCGCCTCAGTAGAGAGAAAGTGTGGATGAATCGTCTTCGAACTATTCAACCACATGGTCTCAACATCCAACTTGGAAATGATTAATCCTTTTTTTCCTCCATTGTCTTCTGTTACAGATAATCCATCTGGTCTTCCTTGTTTGTGTTTACCCATCTTCCCCCATCTTTCATCCCTTTCCACCTCCATACTGTCCCCCCCCCCCCCCCCCATCATCCCTTCACTCTCACATTCTTTTGTCCGTTCCCACTCCCTGTGACCTTTGATCCTTCCCCTTTCTGGTCCCTCCCCTGTTCACACCAGACCCCTTGTGGTTTGCCATCTCCCTTTGTTTCTTTGTTCTCTCATCCACCCTCCCCTGCATCTTTCTACACCTTTCGGACTTAATCCTCCTTTTGTGTTTCTTCTTTCAGCCCTGCTTGTTTGTGTGCATCCCCATGTTAATGTATGTACCTCTGTCATTTCTGTTCTAGCCTCTGAAGAAGAACTTGCTAAGTTCGCAACATCAGGCCACATTAATTTTAAGATTTATATATTTCAGGTCCATCCAGTCAGTAAGCAGTTTGCAGCAGTTTTACTTTTTTACAAATTGTATTTTTGTTTACAGTTGATTTATGTTCTTTGTAATAAAAAGTAGTACAGGCAATATTGCTAATCTACCGTTTAATTTGAATACGGTGGGTACCCTAGTATGGAAGTGCAATAATTAAATGGAGTATAACAATAGGTCATGGATGTGCAGCAGTTCCAGCACTGACCCTCATGGATACAAAATGGCGGAGATATAATGGCTTCATATTAAAACATACCAATGTCAAATAAACGGATTACTCACAAACAAATGCTGCATGTACCATGGGCACACAGCATCCATGCAAGGGCGGATCCAGAACACAATTTTTGTGGGCCCCCCCCCCCCCCCAACTTTGGTCCCCCAAAAAAGTGGATCACAAAATTACGGCGTAGGGTTCGAGGCCCGATTTTTTTGGATTGTAAATGCTCTGTGGTGCGATCTGAGGCAATTTCTGACCACTTTGACCAATTTTGTTTTTGAAGAAAATATAATGTACGAAGGCCCCCGTTGCCCCCCCCCCCCCCGGATCCGCCCTTGCATCCATTTTGCTATATTGTCGTCTTCTCTGCATTGATCGTTGTCACTCATTGTCCATTTTTGTTTTTGTTTTTATCTATATGCAGGAAATAGTTTGCTTGTGTTGGAACGTGGTCTTAGTCTGACCAATAATGGGAAATCCTCAGAGTAGATTCGCTCCAAGAGGTTTGTTGAAGATGGACAATCATCAGCACTATACATGTACAAGGGCGGATCCAGGGGGGGGGGGGCCAAAGGGGGCCATGCCCCCCCCCCCCCCCCAAAACGAAACCAATTTTTTTTTTTTTTTTATGTGACATCGCAATAAAGGCAGGCAATGAGTACACCACCATCTTTTCCTCAAAAAACATTGGTTAAAGTGGTCAGAAATTGCCTCAGATCGCACCACAGAGCATCTAGAATCCAAAAAATTTTCGGGGCCCTTACGGGCCCCGAACCCCACGCCGAAATTTTTTTGACCCACTTTTTGGGGGGACCAATTTTTTTTTTTGGCCCCCCCCAAAATTGTGTTCTGGATCCGCCCTTGTACATGTATTGCAATTTGAAATCTGCTTTACACCTGGTCTATGTATTAATGCTCACACAAAATCTCGAAACCTCCCTCACAGCACTTGAAATGTGCATGCATATGACCCCCCCACGGCACGCTCCGAGCGAACCGAAAATCATCGCTCGATCATATGCGTGCACGTTTCAAGTGTCAGGTTGGCTCAGTGCGGAAAGGGCATATATTTCATCATTTTAGCCCCAACAAACGACAAAATCCAGCAATGTTTGTTCTGCACATATTTTGTGAGTATATGTCATGAGGTGTAGTGTGGAGTTTGGGGGCAAACTGTGCAGCGGTTCTGTGGGAAATTTCTGCATTTTGATGGACGTTTTTGTACTTAACCCTTTCATGCCCACATTGTTTATTGACTTGGCTCTCCCCAGGACCAAATTGTTTGCTCAGTCATGCGGAAATCACTAGAGAGTGAAAAAAATGAGCACGAGTCAAAAACTCACTTTTTTCAACCCAGTTTTTCACTACCAAGGAGTGATTAAAATCATAGGTGTTGTGTGTAAAGTTTGTTCCTTGAACCTTACCCTTTTATGTGATGTAAAAATGAAGTCCATACGTGCAAATATAAGAAAGTTATGCCTTTTTGTTCATCTGGTCCCAATTATCAAACTGCAAGCCATTTCACCACATGACCAAATGGCACTCCATACCTCACATTGTGCGTGGATACTTCTGAAGCACTTTTCTCATTTTTTTGTAATGGTAACACTATGAATAAACCACACCAATAGAAAGATCCGAAAACACTCTTTCAGCTGGTATATAGTTGATGTATGGGCGGCCAAACACATCAACATGCCACCTTTCTGAAAAGCAGTGAATATATCTGTGCTGAGGGTGTTTTGTGTGTGGTTTCCTGGTCGACTAAAGTCGCCCATGGGAACCAGCAGGGGGGTACTTCTTGTCGACAAAAGTCGCCCATGGTAAGGAAAGGGTTAAAGGGAATATACATCATTTGCTTTTGCTGTAATTTTCAGAAATGGATTGAATTGGGGGGTTGGAAATACATGTATATAGCAAATAATAGTTACACTAAATTTTTTGAGGTTTTGGGTTCGAAAATGCTATAAAAACCAAGAAAAACAATCATTTTCCTTTAGTCTGGTTCCCTGACTCCATATAAGAAGAAACAGAGCAGTTTACATACATTGGGGAATTGTAAGGTCAGGGAACCAGTCTAGCTGGCTTGCACCCGTTCATAGGTGTGTAATCGATTGCAAACAAGTGCGATGGTCAATTGGGGCCAGTATTTGAAAAAAGCCAGTTTTTTTCCAACGCTGGTCGGCCGACCAGCGTTGGAAATAGATACAAAAATACCACTTTTCTTGAAAATGACAGTATACCAGGTGCCATGATTTTACAGGATGCTTTACACTGTCATTCACTAACAGTCCAGCAAGGTATTTCAAAATGATTTGGTAGTTTTATTTTTTGATGTTTGCAAATGTTGTATTTTCCCTTTAATAAGTGTTTTGTGCTGAAAACAATTTTGCGGAGTTCTTAATCTATGAGGCTCGTCCACTATGTGGAGCCTCATAGTTCTAGGAGCAGCCTCTGTGGGAATTGAAAATACAAACGATGGTGGTTAGGTTCACATACCTTTGGGAAGAAAAGAGAAATTTCACCTTCAATTCAGGAAACATCCTTGTCACACACTCCTTGTTGTTAATTTGTCACCTGACCTATCACAGGGCACTTTGATTGATCACCAATCCAGGTGACCAAGCAAAGTGCCCTGTGATTGGTCTGTCTAATGCCAGTCAATTTTTCCTGAATTCAAAATGGTAGTGCTCTATTAACTGACCTTTTTAGCCATTACATGTATGTTTGTGCTCTCTTAATTTGTAAATGCCTCTTTTCAGTGCTATTTACAGTGTATAAACAAATGTAATTACATTTAATACAAATTTCTTTTCAGAAACAAACTTGGATGATGAGCACCCCCAAGTTCCAGGTACCGGTAAGTTATAAAGCCTTTACAATAGCGTACCTCATACATGTACATATTCACACATAGGTTCTGGGTAAGTTATAAAGCCTATACTATAGCTCATACATATTCACGCCCAAGTTCTGGGTAAGTTGTAGATCCTTATATACATTTACACTGTGTAGTTATTTTGGACAAATATCAGCAAGTATCTCACTCACTTTGAACCGGAGCAACCCTCACATTGTTCCGAGGTATCTCACTGGAATCGGAGCAAACACCGCATCGTATACATGTACATGTATCATTTCTAGCACGATGCTGCTCAGGTAGCCCCCATTGATAGCAAGAGTTTTTTACCTGCTATTTCACAAAGCAAAACCCTTGCCCTGCGTGCCCGCAGCTACCGTTACTTTTCTGCAACCAGGTTTAGTCAGCATGCGTCAGTTGGTAACTGAATGATTCTTGGACTTCTTGGAAAACAATGATAATCAAAGTCTGTCTGGGTAACAAACGTTATGTCAGAGAAGATTTCAGTATTTCCTCATGTCAGTTCTTCAGACCATTGAACAGTTGAGCAAAAGAAGGAATTGGGTTAACAGGGCCTTTAATTACTATTCTTATTTGTGAGAAAGTATCTTCATCGATTAAAAAAAACTGTTTGAAACTCATTGAAACTGTTTCCTTCTGTCCAGTGACAAACATTATGTTCACCAGGCATCCTCCACCCTATAATTTCTTAAGGGTGTGGAAAGTTTGCTTAAAAGATCACTCAATATTAACATTGATGGTATTAAATAATAATTTGAATAAAATTTACTGAATTTGTTCATCTTGCCTTGAAATTATTAGGAACAAAAATGTCTGTCCACTTGACGAGCGTTACATCTTTACGATGTACCTTTCATAGCTTCTTGATCGTGAATTTTCTGGATTAAAGGGAATGTACAACATTTTGCTTTCGCTGCAATATTCAGTAATAAATGGATTTGGAGAATTAGTATGTTATAGCAAATATTGTTAAAAATGACTTGTTTCACGTTATGGGATCGTAGATGCTGGAAAAACTATGAAAACCAATCATGTTCTTGTAGTCTGGCTCCCAGACCCCATTCTGAGGTATCTTACTTGCTCACTTAATTGGAATCGGAGCAAACACCGCATCGTATGTACATGTACAAGTACATGTATCATTCCGTCCGCAATACTGCTCAGGTAGCCCCCCCCCCCCCCCATTGATGGCAAGAGTTTTGTACCAGCTATTTCACAAAGCAACTGCCCTTACCCTGCCCGCAGCTACCGGTATTTTTCTGCAACCAGGTTTGGTCAATGACCATAGTGTGCATGCATCAGTTGGTAACGGAATGATGTTTGGACTTCCATTAAAAAAAACAATGATTATCAAAGTCTGCCTGTGTAACAAACGTTATGTCAAAGAAGATTTCAGTATTTCCTCATGTCAAGTTCTTCAGACGATTGAACAGTTGAGCAAAAGATGGACTGGAGTTTAGAGCCTTTAATTACTATTGTCATTTGTTAGAAAGGATCTTCATGGATTAAACAAAATTGAAACTGTTTTCTTCTGTCCCAGTGACAGACATTATGTTCATGGCATCCTCCAACCTATAATTGCTTAACGATGTGGAAAGTTTGCTTGAATGATCACTCAATATTAACATTGATTCCAGTATAATATTAAATTTGAATCAAATTTACTGAATTTGTTCATCTTGCCTTGAAGTATGGATAGGAAAACAAGTGTCTGTCTACTTGACAAGCGTTACTTCTTTGCGATTTACCTTTCATAGCTTCTTTAATATTGATCTTGATCTTTTTGGAATAACAAGCATACAGAGGAAAGGTATGTGCAAGCAAAAAATTGAAAAATTTTGCCGTTGGAAAATCGTGCTCAATGATACGCAGTTGAAACATTTAGTATGGACAGACCGTTTTACAGGTACATTTAATATTTCATTTTCAGAATCAAATGTGGACGATGGGAAGCCCCAAGTTGCAGGTAAGTTATAGAGCCTAACAAACCCTTTGCATGGTGCGCCATGACAATGGGCAGGTATTTGTTTCTGGGTGATACACTTGATTAGGTACTTTGTGCTTGTATTGTAACTAAATTTAAATAAAACCTGCCCGCTGTCATGGCGCACCTTGCAAACGGTCTATATAGTGGGGGTTTTTTTTACAAATATTTTGATGATCAGCCATGCTGATATATTTCAATTCTATCAAAAATCTAATGCTTGTTTATTTTGGTTTATCAATGAACTACTTTTTCTACAACCAGGTTTAGTCAATGATCATAGTGCACATTTGTCAATTATTCTTAGACTCCTCTTTGAAAAATAAAGATTGTAAACAGGTTTTTAAAGTGGACAGTGGCTGGATTGGAGACTAATCTGTTTTACTTTTTTCTTCTTCATAATTTTAGAAGAGACATCTTCACCAGCAGTTGAAGATATTCCTTCTACCCATCCCAGTGAGTCAGCATATTTCATATTTTGATCTGAGACAGAGGAATTAATCAGAATCAGAATATTTTCTTTGTTTTTGTTGGCTGCTTGCTGCGAGGCAACACAGACAAGAAAATGTGTATCTCTTTGTCTTTGATTTGTTTTTAAGCAGATTAGTAAAGAATTAGAGTGAGATTTGAACGGTAACGTCTGAATCACGGTTCCAGTGCTCTATTAACTGAGCTATTTAGCCATATTTTGCGTTCTTCTGATTTGTATGCCTCTTTTCACAGTGCAGTGCTATTTTTACTGTAAAGGCAAATGCAGTACATTGAATATTATTTTCTTTTCAGAAACAAACTTGGATGATGAGCTCCCCACTGTTCCGGGTAAGTTATAAAGCCTCTTCTATACCTCATACATATTCACGCCCAAGTTCTGCATCAATTATGAAGCCTATACTTTACCTTATACATATTCACGCCCAAGTTCTGGGTAAGTTATAGATCCTTACATACATTTACAATGTGTTTAGTATTTTTTGACAAATAAGATCAGTGATGTTAATTTTAATTGATGATCAGCGAGTATCTCACTCACTTTGAACCAGAGCAACCATCGTATCGCACCGGTATATAGCATTCTGAGGTATCTTACTTGCTCACTTAATTGGAATCGGAGCAAACACCGCATCGTATGTACATGTACAAGTACATGTATCATTCCGAGCGCAATACTGCTCAGGTAGCCCCCATTGATAGCAAGAGTTTTGCACCAGCTATTTCACAAAGCAACTGCCCTTACCCTGCCTGCAGCTACCGGTATTTTTCTGCAACCAGGTTTAGTCAATGACCATAGTGTGCATGCGTCAGCTGGTAACGGAATGATTCTTGGACTTCCATTAAAAAAACAACAATGATGATCAAAGTCTGCCTGTGTAACAAATGTTATGTCAGAGAAGATTCCAGTATTTCCTCATGTCAAGTTTTTCTGACGATTGAACAGTTGAGCAAAGATGGACTGGAGTTTAGGGCCTTTAATTACTATTCTCATTTGTTAGAAAGGATCTTCATGGATTAAACAATTGAAACTGTTTTCTTCTGTCCCAGTGACAGACATTATGTTCGTGGCATCCTCCAACCTATAATTGCTTAACGATGTGGAAAGTTTGCTTGAATGATCACTCAATATTAACATTGATTCCAGTATAATATTAAATTTGAATAAAACTTACTGAATCTGTTCATCTTGCCTTCAATTATTGATAGGAAAACAAGTGTCTGTCTACTTGACAAGCGTTACTTCTTTGCGATTTACCTTTCATAGCTTCTTTAATATTGATCTTGATCTTTTTGGAATAACAAGCATACAGAGCAAAGGTATGTGCAAGCAAAAGATTAAAAAATTTTGCTGTTGGAAAATCGTGCTCAATGATACGCAGTTGAAACATTTAGTATGGACAGACCGTTTTACAGGTACATTTAATATTTCATTTTCAGAATCAAATGTGGACGATGGGAAGCCCCAAGTTGCAGGTAAGTTATAGAGCCTAACAAACCCTTTGCATGGTGCGCCATGACAATGGGCAGGTATTTGTTTCTGGGTGATACACTTGATTAGGTACTTTGTGCTTGTATTGTAACTAAATTTAAATAAAACCTGCCCGCTGTCATGGCGCACCTTGCAAACGGTCTATATAGTGGGGGTTTTTTTTAACAAATATTTTGATGATCAGCCATGCTGATATATTTCAATTCTATCAAAAATCTAACGCTTTATATTTTGGTTTATCAATGAACTACTTTTTCTACAACCATGTTTAGTCAATGATCATAATGCACATTTGTCAATGATTCTTAGACTCCTCTTTGAAAAATAAAGATTGTAAACAGGTTTTTAAAGTGGAAACTGGCTGGATTGGAGACTAATCTGTTTTACTTTTTTCTTCTTCATAATTTTAGAAGAGACATCTTCACCAGCAGTTGAAGACATTCCTTCTACCCATCCCAGTGAGTCAGCATTATTCATATTTTGATCTGAGACAGAGGAATCAATCAGAATCAGAGTATTTTCATTTTCCTGTTGGCTGCTTGCTGCAAGGCAACACAGACGAGAAAAGATGTATCTCTTTGTCTTTGATTTGTTTTTAAGCAGATTAGTAAGGAATTAGAGTGAGATTTGCACAGTAACCTCTGAATCACCGTTCCAGTGCTCTATTTACTGACCTACATTGTACTCAACCATATTTTGTGTTCTCCAGATTTGTATGCCTCTTTTCACAGTGCGGTGCTATTTTTACTGTAAAGGCAAATACAGTACATTGAATATTATTTTCTTTTCAGAAACAAACTTGGATGATGAGCTCCCCACTGTTCCGGGTAAGTTATAAAACCTATACTATACCTCATACATATTCACGCCCAAGTTCTGCATAAGTTATAAAGCCTATACTTTACCTTTAATATACATATTCACGCCCAAGTTCTGGGTAAGTTATATATCCTTACGTAAATTTACATTGTGTTTAGTATTTTTTGACAAATAAGATCAGTGATGTTAATTTTAATTGATGATCAGCGAGTATCTCACTCACTTTGAACCGGAGCAACCATCGTATCGCACCGGTATATACCATTCTGAGGTATCTTACTTGCTCACTTAATTGGAATCGGAGCAAACACCGCATCGTATGTACATGTACAAGTACATGTATCATTCCGTCCGCAATACTGCTCAGGTAGCCCCCCCCCCCCCCCCCCCATTGATGGCAAGAGTTTTGTACCAGCTATTTCACAAAGCAACTGCCCTTACCCTGCCCGCAGCTACCGGTATTTTTCTGCAACCAGGTTTGGTCAATGACCATAGTGTGCATGCATCAGTTGGTAACGGAATGATTCTTGGACTTCCATTAAAAAAAACAATGATTATCAAAGTCTGCCTGTGTAACAAACGTTATGTCAAAGAAGATTTCAGTATTTCCTCATGTCAAGTTCTTCAGACGATTGAACAGTTGAGCAAAAGATGGACTGGAGTTTAGAGCCTTTAATTACTATTGTCATTTGTTAGAAAGGATCTTCATGGATTAAACAAAATTGAAACTGTTTTCTTCTGTCCCAGTGACAGACATTATGTTCATGGCATCCTCCAACCTATAATTGCTTAACGATGTGGAAAGTTTGCTTGAATGATCACTCAATATTAACATTGATTCCAGTATAATATAAAATTTGAATCAAATTTACTGAATTTGTTCATCTTGCCTTGAAGTATGGATAGGAAAACAAGTGTCTGTCTACTTGACAAGCGTTACTTCTTTGCGATTTACCTTTCATAGCTTCTTTAATATTGATCTTGATCTTTTTGGAATAACAAGCATACAGAGGAAAGGTATGTGCAAGCAAAAAATTGAAAAATTTTGCCGTTGGAAAATCGTGCTCAATGATACGCAGTTGAAACATTTAGTATGGACAGACCGTTTTACAGGTACATTTAATATTTCATTTTCAGAATCAAATGTGGACGATGGGAAGCCCCAAGTTGCAGGTAAGTTATAGAACCTAACAAACCCTTTGCATGGTGCGCCATGACAATGGGCAGGTATTTGTTTCTGGGTGATACACTTGATTAGGTACTTTGTGCTTGTATTGTAACTAAATTTAAATAAAACCTACTCGCTGTCATGGCGCACCTTGCAAACGGTCTATATATTTTTTTTATAAATATTTTGATGATCAGCCATGCTGATATATTTCATTTCTATCAAAAATCTAACGCTTTATATTTTGGTTTATCAATGAACTACTTTTTCTACAACCAGGTTTAGTCAATGATCATAGTGCACATTTGTCAATGATTCTTAGACTCCTCTTTGAAAAAAAATGATTGTAAACAGGTTTTTAAAGTGGACAGTGGCTGGATTGGAGACTAATCTGTTTTACTTTTTTCTTCTTCATAATTTTAGAAGAGACATCTTCACCAGCAGTTGAAGATATTCTTTCTACCCATCCCAGTGAGTCAGCATATTTCATATTTTGATCTGAGACAGAGGAATCAATCAGAATCAGAGTATTTTCATTTTTTTTGTTGGCTGCTTGCTGCAAGGCAACACAGACAAGAAAATGTGTATCTCTTTGTCTTTGATTTGTTTTTAAGCAGATTAGTAAAGAATTAGAGTGAGATTTGAACGGTAACGTCTGAATCACGGTTCCAGTGCTCTATTAACTGAGCTATTAAGCCATATTTTTGCGTTCTTCTGATTTGTATGCCTCTTTTCACAGTGCAGTGCTATTTTTACTGTAAAGGCAAATGCAGTACATTGAATATTATTTTCTTTTCAGAAACAAACTTGGATGATGAGCACCCCAATGTTCCGAGTAAGTTATAAAGCCTCTTCTATACCTCATACATATTCACGCCCAAGTTCTGCATAAATTATAAAGCCTAAACTTTACCTTATACATATTCACGCCCAAGTTCTGGGTAAGTTATAGATCCTTACATAAATTGACATTGTGTTTAGTATTTTTTGACAAATAAGATCAGTGATGTTAATTTTAATTGATGATCAGCGAGTATCTCACTCACTTCGAACCGGAGCAACCATCGTATCGCACCGGTATATACCATTCTGAGGTATCTTACTTGCTCACTTAATTGGAATCGGAGCAAACACTGCATCGTATGAACATGTACAAGTACATGTATCATTCCGAGCGCAATACTGCTCAGGTAGCCCCCATTGATAGCAAGAGTTTTGTACCAGCTACCGGTACTTTTCTGCAACCAGGTTTAGTTAATGACCATAGTGTGCATGCGTCAGTTGGTAACGGAATGATTCTTGGACTTCCATTAAAAAAAATAATGATAATCAAAGTCTGCCTGTGTAACAAACGTTATGTCAAAAAAGATTTCAGTATTTCCTCATGTCAAGTTCTTAAGACGATTGAACAGTTGAGCAAAAGATGGACTGGAGTTTAGGGCCTTTAATTACTATTGTCATTTGTTAGAAAGGATCTTCATGGATTTAAACAAAATTGAAACTGTTTTTTTCTGTCCCAGTGGCAGACATTATGTTTATGGCATCCTCCACCCTATAATTGCTTAACGATGTGGAAAGTTTGCTTGAATGATCACTCAATATTATTACATTGATGCCAGTATTAAATATTAATTTGAATAGAATTTACTTAATTTGTTCATCTTGCCTTGAATTATGGTAAGAAAAAAAGTGTCTGTCTACTTGACAAGCGTTACTTCTTTGCGATTTACCTTTCATAGCTTCTTTGATATTGATCTTGATCTTTTTGGAATAACAAGCATACAGAGCAAAGGTATGTGCAAGCAAAAAAATTAAAAATTTTGCTGTTGGAAAATCCTACTCAATGTCCCAGTGTACTATTTAGTGCGGCCAGACTATAATGCAGGTACATTTAATATTTCATTTTCAGAATCAAATGTGGACGATGGGAAGCCCCACGTTTCAGGTAAGGTATAAAAGCCTAAGACACCCTTTGCATGGTGTGCCATGACAGTGGGTAAGTCTGGGTAGGCATACACCGCGTTATGGGGAAGTTTTTTATTGTTAGGCAAATATTAGGACCGAGTTATGGGGACTTTCTGCTGTCCCCATAGCATTTTCGGTCCCCACAAATACCTTGTGGCGACGAGTGTAAGTCCCCACAACTACGGAATAAGTAAATGTGTGTTTTTGTGTGATACACTCATTGGTCTCCATTAGGAAGACGGGATAGGACACAGCACCCTCCATCTTGTGCACGCACGCGTAGTCATCGGTGAGGGTTTGAAAGTTTGAAATGCGTTCGTCACACACGGACCATGCAGCATGCGCACGTCACGCAAGTGCAGTCGCAAACATTAAACCCGCACTGTACTACCCAGCTGTTTGTGTCCACGTTTTCCGAATCTTCACTGCGTGCAAGTGTACGCGTGTCCTATCCAGTCTTACTAATGGAGATCAATGGATACACTTGATTAGGTACTTTGTGCTTGTATTGTAACTAAATTTAAATAAAACCTGCCTGCTGTCATGGCGCAACTTGCAAATGGTCTATATAGTTTTTTGGTTTTTTTTTTAAATACAATTAGTAATATTTATTTTGATGATCAGCCATGCTGCTATATTTCAATTTCATCAGTTCTTTCAATCAACTGCTTTTTCTACAACCAGGTTTAGTCAATGATCATAGTGCACATGTGTCAATGATTCTTAGACTCCTCTTTGAAAAATAAAGACTGTAACTGGTTTCCAAAGTTGACAGTGGCTGGATTGGAGACTAATCTGTTTTACTTTTTCTTCTTCATAATTTTAGAAAAGGCATCTTCACCAGCAGTGCAAGACATTCCTGCTACCCATCCCCGTGAGTCACCATATTTCTAAGTTTGATCTGAGACAGAGGAATCAATCAGAATCAGAATTTGTTTTTTGACAGCTTGTTGCCAAGAAACAGTGACAGAAAAGTCGTATCTCTTTGTCTTAGCGTTTTTAAGCAGATTAGTATAGAAATTCACTAGAGTGAGATTTGATCAGACAACCTCTGAATCACCGTTCAAGTGCTCTATTAGCTGACCTATTTAGCCATATTTTGCATTTTTCTGATTTGTATGCCTCTTCACAGAGCAAAATTCACTATTCTTACTTATTAGTACTCAATAATTAGGAAAGAAAGGCATAAAACTCTGTGTGTATTTTCATGTCAAAATATCCGGTAAACTTCCCAACATTTTTATTGGATTTTTATGCCCCACGGCGAAGCCGAAGGGGCATACTGTTTCCGCCTTGTCCTTCCGTGGGTGGGTGGGTGGGTGTGTGGATGGGTTTGTGGGTGGGTGTGTGTGTCCGGACAAATCTTGTCAGCGCGATAACTTGAGAAATACTTAACATATGAACTTCAAATTTGGTTTGTGGATTGTCCTTGGTAATCCTAAGAAGCCTTTTGCATTTGGGGCCGAAAGGTCAAGGGTCAAGGTCACAGTGGCTGAAACAATAGAAATTTTGCCAGCGCGATAACTTGAGAAATACTTTACATATGAACTTCAAATTTGGTTTGTGGATTGTCCTTGGCAATTCTAAGAAGCCTTTTGCATTTGGGGCCAAAAGGTCAAGGGTCAAGGTCACAGTGACTAAAACAAAAGAAATTTTGTCAGCGCGATAACTTGAGAAATACTTTACATATGAACTTCAAATTTGGTTTGTGTATTGTTCTTGGTAATCCTAAGAAGCCTATTGCATTTGGGGCCGAAAGGTCAGGGTCAAGGTCACAGTAGCTAAAACAATAGAAATCTTGTATTTATTCTGAGATCATAGGGATTAGGGATTAATTCATATTAAACCTACAGAAGACACTAATGCTGTCAATGAACGTTCCATTTGACCAAGGTACATGTACATGTAAGTTGATGTTAGAGTGGTGTTTTGTCATGGAAACAGTCACGGTTGCGGGGCATTTGTGTTTGTAAACACACCTGACTTGTTTACAATTATTTTTTCCAGTATGATTACGATTGATCGAGTCGTTGGTTGTTGAATGGTACGGTTGGATTTGCTTTGGTTCAAAAGCCACCCAAAAACCCACATTGTTGGCAATTAACCGTATTTTCAGATGAACTGTTGCAATTACATCTGACTTTACAGTCTTTTCAACCCTCTGATGCTCGCCCCGGGCAAATTCACCCCTACTCGTTTAACACTAAAGTTTTCGCCCCGGGGATAAGATTTTTCAACCCTGGTCCCAAGCAGGGGTGAGCTCGCTCCAGGGATGAGCAATCTTGGGGGTGGCTGGGGGTGGCGCAGGGATGAAAATTTCAAGTGAGAAACGTGGTACGGTTGGATTTGCTTTGGTTCAAAAGCCACCCAAAAACCCACATTGTTTGCAATTAACCGTATTTTCAGATGAACTGTTGCAATTACATCTGACTTTACAGTCTTTTCAACCCTCTGATGCTCGCCCCGGGGCAAATTCACCCCTTCTCGTTTAACACTAAAGTTTTCGCCCTGGGGAAAGTGTCTTGCCCTGGGGATAAGATTTTTCCACCCTGGTCCAAAGCAGGGGTGAGCTCGCCCCGGGGATGAGCAATCTTGGGGGTGGCTGGGGGGTGGCGCAGGGATGAAAATTTCAAGTGAGAAACGTGGTTTATTTTAACCTCCATGTCGCCCCGGGCCACCCCCGAGATTTGGTCTAGTGAGAAAAGGCCTATTGTTCCAATGCCAAACCCCTGTGTGTATGGTCTTGGCCCAAGACGTCAGTGATCAAGAGAGATAGTTTCATTGTTGTGTAGCGCACTTGCATAAATGATTTTGTACTTTCTCTCACCAATATCTTGGTCATTTCGTAGCAATGGGGCGTGGCCATTTTATGTAAATAAGACTGTCTGTATAAATTTGAACAATCATAGTCATTTTTATAGCTCCATGCTTGATCACCGCACGTATAGCGCGAATGTCCACAACCGTCAGGTGAGCCATGAAACCTTTTTTTCAATCGCTAATTGGTTCCCTATAAAGTGATGGTGCTCGATCACCGCACATAGGCCAGGGCGTACGTTTACAACCATTGGGCGAGCCATATAACCTTTTCTCAGTCGCTGATTGATTCCTTAGGAAAGCCTGGGAAAAACACTAAAGAAAAAGTTAAAACCACTGAAACAAAATGGCTAAGAATTAGTGCAAGTACATGTATATAGGCCTGCCGGTCTAATTGTTGTGCCATTAGAGGGTATATATATGCATCCTCCACTATCGATCAATAGCGTCGTGGGCCAAGACTACTGTGTGTGCTGTTGTACAGTGTACTGATCGTTAATACTTGGCCAAAATATTAGTTATGACAGAAAGTGTAATTACTAAAGTGGAGTATTCACTGTATTTACTGTACACAGACATGTAAATGCACAGTCGGGACAAAGGTTTTTGGTTTGCTTTAACGGCAATTTCACCATTATGAAAGGTACATATCAGTGACAAAACCAATAAACCATTATACCTAAATAACAATTTAGAAAAATGATCCACAACTCCTAGTCTGTTTAGTCTCCTTGACCATGACCAGGTAATGGCTGTACATGTAAAAGATTCGATAAATACATTGTCAGGTTTATTCACTGAGCTTTTAAAAGCTCTGTATAATACTGACATGACATTCAATTGCCCATAACCAGAATTTGTATTTGCAGTATTTGTATTAATCCTAACTCCCTAGGGGTTTTTGCTAGGACTAGTGCAGTGCCCGTCTAAAATGTGCATGTTCGGGAAGGGCAAATTTCTTTGCCGCTGGTATTGGTTGCATGTTTTCACAGGTTGAATGCACTCACGTCAAAGTTTGTGCCAAATTTGAAGTTGTTTAGGCTAGTGGTTTTCGAAAAAGCTGCAAAATAATAGCGCAGATATTTACCCCTTCTGGACAATGGTATTGCCCTGCAGTAAGGATGCTCAGTCGACCACCTAATGTGCCCGTGTAGCCACCACGTACGTGTACATACGGAAACATGGTATGCAGTGCCATTCACCCACATTGGACAATATGGTATCGCCCTACAATGCACGTGCGCGTGCCCGTCCTTTTTGCATTGTTTACGTCATATTGAGTACGTGCACTTTAGCCTAAAACATGACGTAAACAATTGAAAAGAACATCAGTGCGTGGTGGTCTAGGCTATAATTTGCCACGTTTGCCTCAGAAAATGTTGCTCTTTTGCAGCTTTTTCGAGAACCGCTCGTCCAAACAACTTCAAAGTTGGCACTACACATTCTGGTGTCCCGTTCAAGACACCCGCCGATTTTCAACTTCATACAATGCCCGGTTCTGGAGATAATCGAAATACAGACAGACAGACACACACACACAGATTCCTGGAATTATAGTATAGATGCAACCTCAGTCCTGCAAAATCCTCCAACTGCCTTCATGTAAAAATCGCATACAGCCTTAATCCTGCAAAATCCTCAATTATTTCTTTATAATGTGGTCCTTGGAGGGGTGACCATGCCTCAATCCTGCAAATCTTCCAGCAATCACTGTCAATTGGTAGAGGCTGAGCCAGTGACATCCTGGAGCAGTGCAGATGATGCACGCATATATTTTGCACTAAATTTAGTCGGGCACCATTTGCACACGGTGTTGTAATTTTGTTATTGTGCATCTGGAAGCCGAGTGAGGGAGCGATGGTCGTGTATCTCGGGGAATCTGAAAATGCATTTCAATTATCGCAGTATGTAAGAGAGCAGACTAATGACCAGCCTGGCAGGTCGAGTCGAGATCGTAAGTGGGTGCAGACTTCCCAAGCCTTATGGCCTTACTGAGGTCACCTCAAGCTCCACTCTAAAGGATATTTTTGAGAGTTTTAAGGGGATCGAAGTGTCATCTGCAACATATCAGCCCACATTTGAAAAAAAAAGTGGGGTAAAAAAAAAAACCTGCGTCGCCACACGACTTTGGGGCAAGCTCCATACCAGAAACCGGAGACTTTTTTTTTACCCTAAGGTTAACCGGGATGACTGTAGTAAACTCTATCCTTTTATGTAACGTGTGATCAACTTTTTTTTCAGATAATGTCATGAAAGCCCTGGAAGCAGACGCCAACAAGCCCGCAGAGAAGCGTAAAGCAGAGGCGACGGCTCTGAAAGATCAGGGGAACCAAGCGTTCAAGAAGAGCAATTACACACGAGCCGTTGAGCTCTACACACAGGGCCTGGAGCGTCTAAAAGACTTTGTGGTGCTGTACACCAACAGGGCACAGGTAAACAAGTCAAGTCCGTTACGAGCCAAGATCTCCGTATTCATGAAATGACTGAGAATATTTCTATTCCCCCTGGATGAGTCCATTGTCATGACTGTAGGTTGCTCCCCAAGTAATACCCTTACGCATTTACATGTGTACTCCTGGGTGGAGAGAGGCAAGTGGAGGTGAAGGTTTGTGAGAGATACGCAACATCATGAACGTTGCTGATGGCTTGTGAGAGAGATACGCAACGTTTTAATTTATTTCCTGAAAATTTTTCATATAAAGGGGAAAAAAAGAAAGGAAAACATATCATTTTGGGAGGGGGGCCAACTCATCCTGCATGTTTGTTTTTGTAGTACTGCACATAAGGCAGACGATTAATTCAAGGCGTCACACATGTTATCCTATTGAGACACGCATCACTTCGTTGTTCACTGTGTGGCAAATTTGAATCCCATCTTTTCACTTATTTCCCCCCAAGGCTTACAACAAATTGGGAAAGTTTACAGAGGCAATGGAGGACTGCCGGACTGCCTTGCAGTTGGAACCAAACAACGTCAAGGCATTGGTGCACCTTGGCAAGGCCCAACAGGGACTGAAGGATTACGAGGTGGCTGTTACGACTTACAAAGAAATCACCAAGATTGACGAGAAGTACGAAAGTAAAGTCGCAGGTGGGTCAGCAGTCTTCAGGCCAAATGCAAAAACATGTGATGCAACTAAATGAGTCATTTGTCGGCCCTTATCAAATGTTGTGGTTTTTTTTTTACATTATTGAATAGAGCTGTATCTCAGTTTATATTTGGTGAAAACCCCATGTGAATAGGACCTTCCATTCAGAAGTTATGGGACTTGGAACACAGGCAGATTTGAAACAAGAAAACAGAGACTCAAACAGAGAAATCAACGATTCAAAATTGAAGTGTTTATTACACAACAATAAACATGCTTTATTTCAAGTTATTGACATAAATTTGTTACTCCTTAGCAAAAATGTCACGTTTTGAATACTTTATCGTGATATTTTCTCCGGAAAAAAAGTTGACATGAAAGAGGACATATGTAGCCTTCTTATTTTACAAAAAAGTCAATTTTGAAATTTTCACCCTGACTGAACTATTTTGGGCTGTATCTTAAAATCATAATTGCCGACAATTAACGACTCATTTAGTTTGATCGCATCACACATGTGAATGTGAATGCGAACTGAAGCTAATGTGAAGTCATTCAGGACACGTATTCAAATGAGTTGAAATGTTTGCAGATCCACAGTGCATTTATTTGCTGATAATTTTTGTGGATTTTTTTCATTTTCCAACAATCTCACCCCTGCACTAGGCTACATTGCAGAAGTGAATCTAGCCGAGTCCACAGCCAAGTCTGATATGGAGGCTGAGAGGCTGTTGAGTGAGGGCGATGTCAAAGCAACGGGCGTTCATGAGATCGGACTCGGTGACGGTAAGCAAAAACTCTGCCATAATTACCAATGTAGGTAATTACAAATGTAGGTAATTACAAATGTAGGTATGTAAATTGAATGTTTCTTATCCCAAAAATGTTTGTTTTACAGCATTTCATATAATCTTGAATTTTGGTTTAACTATAGACCCTTTGTTGGTTGTGCCATGACAGTGGGCAGCAGTCGATTTCATGAAAAAGTGCGCAGCTTGTGCCATGAGTAAGACTTAGGCAACAAATTTGTTGCCCAGCTGCGCAATAAAGTTACGATCGATTTCACAAAGCTTGGCGCAGCTTCACAATGCTTTAAATAATTTAAGCATCTTGGACGAGGATAAAAGCAGCATTTACCACGGCTGTTTGTGTGTGAATTTTTTCGTTCGCAAAACAGTCGTTGGATCACCTCAGCCCGCCATTTTGAAAATTATTTTGTCCGTCTTGTATCAACCTTGATAAGTTGTGCAATAACAAGCTCTGTGACACTCCTGATATGCTGGTAAAATATGTCATTTTCAGTCGTTACGACACAACTTATGCCGTCTAAAATGATGGTGCAAGTTACATCATAATTTATTGCGCAACTTGTGGACTTACGCACTATGTGACTTTTGTGAAATGGGTCATGTTGCGCAACTTACACAATAAATTTTGGCTCAAGCAGAGTTGCGCCAATTCGTAAGATTTTGTGAAATCGGCTGCTGGTCTGTTTTACTGCATTATTTTGTATATGGTGTAAGTCAAGGACACACGCAACATTATCAATGAATCGAGGACAGAAACCGAATCGAGGACTCCTTGGTTGGAAAATGTGTACAAACCAATGAGAGCTGTTGCAAAAAAGTTAAGGTACAAACAAAGGAAAAGGGAAGAGGAACAAAAGAAAATCCTCAATTTACACCCCGTTAACCCTTTCGGCCATCAGCATGGGGGTTTGGTCGGTATCAAATCAGGGCATAATTGATTATAGTTGGCATGCGCAAGGCATACCGCCCCTAGAGTGGTAACAAGCATTTTGATGGACATTTTGAGAAAAAGGGTAATAATTAAAAGCTGCACTGCTGCAATGCTGTCACATATTTTCCAACTATGGAGGTGTATACCTTGCCAACTATGGAGGTGTATACCTTGCCAAAAATTGCTATGACGATTATTACCCTCATTTGATACCGGTTGCCAAAATTTTTGACCAAGGCTGATCCATGGCCTACTTGTTCAGCACGATAACTTGATAAATACTTTACTTAGGAACTTGACATTTCGTTTGTGGATTGTTCTGGATAGTCTTAATAGGCCTATTAATTTTGGGGCCAACAGGTCAAAGGTCAAGGTTACTATTGCTAAAACAAAAGAAATCTTGTCAACGAGTTAACTTGAGAAATACTTTACTTATTAAAGAACTTGAAATTTGGTTCGTGGGTTGTTTTTGGTACTCTTAAGAAGCCTATTGCTTTTGGGACCGACAGGTCAAAGGTCAAGGTCACTATTGCTAAAACAATAGAAATCTTGTCAATGCGATAACTTGAGAATAATTACATAGGAGCTTTAAATTTGGTTTGTGGGTTGTCTGTTGTTCTTGATAATCTTAAGAGGCCTGTTGCTTTTGGGGCCGACAGCTAGGTCAAGATCACTAATTGCTGTATTGTCAGCATGAATGCTTGAGAAATACTTTACTTAGGAACTTCAAATTTGGTTTGTGGGTTGCTCTTACCGTAACCACAGTAACAGACAGTCAAGCAGCTCTGACCCAACAACTACCAGATGATCAACAAACGACTCAGTCTGGCAGTGGACAGCCTTCCCAGCAGGAACCAACGCAACAACCTCCGCCGCAACTACAGCCAAGACCAGGTGAGACACAAACATTTGTCTGTAAACCCTGCATGTTATAACTCCCCTGGCCCTGATATCGGTTCCCAGTGACAGCATCCTTCCCCTCCATCCTTTGCATTGATGCTATTAGGCACAATATATAGCATTGCAGTGTCCCTGAAACAAGGGGGACCACACTGCCGACCAGCCCCCTGTCAGCCCAGAGAGGGGAGCTCTTGGGATCGAATGGGACTTTTCACTTTTCATTGAGATCTGTGAAGTTCCAGTGTGCATGGAGGCCTAATTACTCCCCTGTTTTACTGGTAGTTTGATTAAATTACACAAATTTTAAACTTGAACTCAATGTACATGTACATGTTCAAGCGGTTTGTTCTTATTGATACACTGACAATTTAAACTTGAAACAAAACATTAGAAAGCATCCTTAATCAGTTTACAAACGAAGTCTATACAGTTATTCCTTTTCAAAAGTAAATTGCATGAAAATAATTATGCAGACAAAAATCCATGATTATCAAGTGCAGAACAGAAAAAACTTAAAAGGCTTGTAAAAGCAACAGTGTATTTTAAACAACAGAGCATCTAGAATCCAAAAATTTCCCGGTGCCCTTAAGCCGGCCCCGACCCCACGCCGTCGGCCGCGGACCCCACGCCGTAAGACATTTGCCCTTCGCGCTCGCAGTAGTCCTCGGGCAGAAGCCCCTATTCGCATCCTTTCAACAGTTTACAAACTATAAGCCTATCCAATTCCTTTTCATAAATAAAATGCACGAAAATAAATATGCAGACGGAAATGCATGGTTATCAAGTGAAGAACAGAAGAATCTTAAAAGGCTATAAATACAAGAGTATGTGTTACATGTTACATGTGTTACCGCAAACCGAAATGAAAGTGAAAAAAATCCGAAGTATCTTAAAACATTTTACACTTAACCCAGGGCTATAGGGGAAAAGGGGGCCAGGAATTGCCTCAGATTTGCACCACAGAGCATCTTGAATCCAAAATTTCCCGCGGCCCTTTATTAGCGGGCCCCTGACCCCACACCGTAAGGCATTTGTGCTCCGCGCTCTCATTAGTCCTCGGTGCAAATGCCCCAACGCATTGTTGCAACAGTTTACAAACTAAGTCAATTCGATTCTTTTTCCAAAATACAATGCAAGAAATATGAATACGAAAATACATGGTTTACAATTTTGAAGTACACAGTAACTTCTTAAAATCTTAAAAGCTTTTGCTCAAAGAATTCAGGGGTAAAGGGGCCAGGAATCGCCTCAGATTGCACCACAGAGCATCTAGAATCACAAATTTTCAGGGGCTTCACGCTCGTATAAGTTCTTGGAGCAAATTCTCCGAAGTTGTGCCCCCCATCTAAAAAAATCCTGGATCTGCGCCTGACGTCTGTAAAGAGCAAAAACACAATATTGATTTACATCACCAAATTGATTTACATGCAAATTCCATCCTCTGAACAATATTTTAAAAACCCCTAAATATGGTGTTTTTCACATACATGTACCTGAGAGCCAACAGTAGGATATTATCAAAGCACACTATATTATGATGTTGACAACAAAGAGCAAATTTCATGATTTTTTCGAGCACAATTTTTGGCAAATAAACTGTTGGTGCACAAATTTGGCCTGCAAAACATTATGAATTGAAAGACAAATCTGATAATAACGTCACCCGAATGCAACATCGTTTTAAGGAAAAAAATGTTCTTTGTATCTGTAAACAGGCTAAATACCGGTATAAACAAACTGAATTGAACTTTTGGTTCTTAAAAAAACCCTTTAAAGTAGGGCTACATGGTTTGCGCACATTTTTAAAGTATTTTTATTTTTAATGTAAGTATTTTAATGTTTGGTTTTTAGTAATATTATGTTTTGGTATAATTGTTTTTTGAAAATCATATATTATGTTCACATGTACAAATTTCCGATTTTTAACTGTCAGACATGTTTTTAATCAACCATTAATAAATGCCTTGGAGAGTTGATAGCTTCTGATTGGTCGAGACTCGATCACGTGGGGGTGTATTAACATGTGATATAAAGACAGGCTTCAAAAACAAGTGAATAAATGGCCCCTGAACCAGCGTTGATCCAGCATCATGTAAGCCATGATTGACCAAATAAACAACAGTCCTTCGGTAACTTTTTATAATACATCAGTACACGTGCTCTCAACCACCATCGTGTGAAGACTTCCGTGCGTGTATGCATTCTATACATGTAGTTGTTATGCGGGGCCTGCGGGCGCGTTATAAGTCTTAACACGACATGTTCATACTAAGGATGTTTACAACGAAAGCATGGATATGTGATTTATTTTCTGTAAACACGCCTCACAGGGACATATTTACTGTTTCTAAATCGAGCATCTTTGTAATTTTGGAAACAAGGAGTATGTAAACATGAACACACAAAAAGTTTGGAAATATCGCCAAAAGAAAAGTCACACAAAAGTGAAGACCGGGTGCTCACACTGTTATTCCCTAATTATTTAATTGAATTGAATTGAAGGATATTTTAATTCTTGCTTTTGATTGTAGATTACCCACAAAGAAGTGAAGCCATCATAGGAAGCATCAGCGGTAGCCAGAACCCTGTCATTGTTGGTTCAAATGAAGTAAATATCATTTACAACAAGCTGTCAGAGGGACCAGGTAAATATAATCTTATTTGATGCGATGAAGTAGATATCTTAAATCAAGTGTTAATGTATTGGGGGGGGGGGGGGGGGGGGGAGGGTGGTATACTGTTTTAGCACATGTATGTAGTGAACATAGTTTCATGACTTATTTAACTGTTCTTGTAGTTCTCCAGATATATAGGGCTTTAAAATATGCACCTTTAGGATAACGTATTTGGACCCATGATGATGTCATCATGACGTCCCCAAGTTTTAATCTGTTAACACGTGCCTGTACCTGTATATGTACATGAACATACAAAGTTCCAACCCAATTGGACTTACGTTCTCTAGATAAAAAATTGTAAAATAGACAACTTTAAGGTGACATCATAAGACCATTGATGACGTCATCATGACATCACTTGTCTAGGGCCAACCTGTACGTAGTTTGATGTCAATCTGATTGCATTTTATGTCAAATTTTGCTAGCAGAAGAACATGTGAAAGGTTTCGAAAATTAATTAAAAGAATTAGGTGATGAGGTCATCATGACGTCACTTTTGTAATTTGCAAATTAGTAGCACTATCTACATGTACACGTACCTACCCACCACATTTAAGTGACATTACTATATTCAAAGACAAATGTAATTAACTCAAAGTGTTCATACGCAACTTACTTAACCTACATTTTACTGTAGAATAAAGTCTTTGATAAACAAATTTTAATCTGGTCGTGTTTGGTATTGTTCAGCTTGCATTGCCCTCTTTTTTTGGGGGGGGGGATGGGGGTGCTGTTGAGAAAGGTACATGTAGGTCCTATATGCATCCTTAGATATACCCTGGAATTAACAGGCACTGAGGACTAATCAGTGGGTCCACACCCTGAAGACGAAACTTCTTCCTGCTTTTATCAATATCATGATCTCAGGGACGCACGCTTGGAAGCAAACTTTGGATACAATCCTCACGCAACATTTCCAAGTGTACATTTTACTGCACGTAATTGGAAACTTTAACCAATTGAGTACATTATGGATGAAGTTAAAAAAAATTGCTGCCTGCAGAAAAAAATAATATGTTGAAAAATGGACATGCACATTGTTCGGATTTGTTGAATTGCAGCTTGAGAGAATTGTTATGAATCATGTTCATGTATACTTAATGAATAGTTTACTCATACGTCATTAGTAGAGAGGGTTAATGCAGCTTGAAAGAATGATTGTAAGGAATCATGTTTATCAGTTCTCAAATCAGTTACTTATTATAATTTCATGATTTCTTTCAGAAACCACCGGACTCCAGGAATCGGGTACCTTTGAGGATTTGCAACAGGAAATTATTGACAACTATGAGCAAACTGCAACAACTATTCCTGCACATCCTACACTGCAGTCACGTAATGTGGGTATTGAGGAATTCTTTATTCCACTGAATCTCAGAAAGAACATTTCAGGCAAAACGAAATCAGAGAGGTTGGTCACATTACTAAAACAAAACATATTTTTGGATGAAGCACAAAAGATAATTCTCAAATCCGTTGATGATTTGTTCAATCAGAAAATAGTTAAGGAAATCAAGATTCTTCTTTATGGTGGGGCCGGGACGGGTAAAACAACCCTGTTAGTGAAAGTTGTAAACTCCTGCATCACACTCAGTTCAGAACCCCTTCTCGGTAGATTCGATCTTGTGCTTTGGATTAAGCTGAGGCAAATGCAATCAAACAGTGTCTTGGATGCCATATTTGACCAAATTCTACCAATTGACACAAAACTGGACAAAACAACAGTGCAACGTATCATTGATGGTAAGCAATCACGCATTGCTTTGCTGTTGGATGGATTAGATGAAATTCCGTCTCATGTTTTGCAATCTAAGGAGGGCGTGTACAGGGTTCAAGATATCTTACACAGCAGAGTCCTTACAAAAAGTTTTGTGTTGGTAACTACTCGACCACACATGATGGAATATGTATTGGAGGGTAGCAACCCGTACGCAGTGGTTGAAACATGTGGCTTCAGACCACAAGACAGAGATCAATATATCAGATTAAACCTTTCTGATGATTCTGACATGGGAGAGGCATTGATTTCACATCTAGAAGACAATGCAAATCTCAAGGAGATGGCTGTAATTCCAATCATTTCCCAGATGTTGTGCCTTGTTTGGAAGAATGAAAAGTCATTGCCTGAGAGAATTACCAAGCTGTACGAAAAGTTTGCGGTTGTTCTTTTCAAGCGCTGCAATAAAGATATGAATGATGATCAGGTGATGTTAAACTTGATGCCCATCATTGATGACTTGGGGCGTGTTGCATTACAAGGGTTACTAGACTCTAGAGGGGAAAGACTCATGTTCAATGAAACTGAATTTCAGGATTGTCCGTCTTGCTTAGCTGAGGGTTGTCGTGTGGGTTTCGTTCTACGTGAAACGTTCACGAGTGGTCTGGATGTAAAAGTGCTGGTCACTTTCCCCCACAAGTCCATCCAAGAATACTTTGCAGCATGTCACCTGGTGAAATTGCTACAAGATGACGAAAACAATTTCCGTCATCAGTTGGAGCAGATTGGAGAAGGAAATGTTTTTGCGATGGAATACCTGCTGAGATTTTGTTGTGGTAGATCCATGCAGGCTGCTGGTCTCATTCTGGATCACATACAAGAGATGCAAGGTGATGAGATGAAGCTGCAGAGATTGGCTCGGTTGATATTGTGTGAATCTGGTTCAAAAGAGTTGGCTACCAAACTTGTCAGACCAACTAGGGTAGAGTGTGAGAGTAATGCAGACCTGAAATCACTGAGCTACTACTTAAAGCGTGTCACTCCACCACTTAAAAATACAGGCTTTTACATGCATGTAAGAAAGCAGGATCTTAACCTTTTCAGGGAAATTCTTCTGAGTGACAGCATGGAGTCGGCTAAGATGATATTTGTTCACTACATGTTGTCTGAGGAGGAGAAGGAGGATTTCAGTCCCCTAGAGAAAACAATTGGTGTGAGGAAAGAAGAGCGCCGTGCTCAATTACACATTATGTTTTACATTGGGGAAAAGTCGTTGTTTGACATGGGGCCTGCATCGCACAGCTTTTTGCGCATGCAAGAAAAAATCATGCCTAGTTTGTCCATGATAAAAGTAAGACCAGAGGAGGTTGTTGATGTGTTGCAGGTACTGGAAGAATGCAGGTTTAATTATCTCTACCTGCATAGTATCAACCTGCATGGACAGTTGCGAGATGTCCATATCTTGCCAGCCATTGGCACCTTGCACCTCGAAAAGTGCAGGTTGGTCGATGATGATGTGAAGGACCTGATCAGCATCCTTCCTGCTGGGCGTGGTTTAATAGGGCTTACCCTTGATGACAGTGCATTCAGTTTGGATGCAGTGAGGGCTCTCATCGGTCATCTCCAAGGTTTCCCAAAGTTATGTCGGTTGGGACTTCATAACATCGGCCTCGATGCTCAGCTCATCAGACAAGTTGTCAGTCAAGGCCTCCCTCACCTGAAGGAAACAGCAGAGGGAGATTTCCGAGCCTAAATAATCTACCACCAAGTCATAACTCCCACCCTGTGCCCTATGAATGCACCACGTTCACAAAGTAGCACGTATCATGGGTCATTTTATGTAAAATCAATGCTCTGCAACCCCCCCCCCCCCCCCAAAAAAACCCAATAAGTTAAAAAAAAAAAAAAAAACAACAGCAATCAATAACAACAAAACTTTATTTTCAGAGGGCAATAAGAGGCTCGATAATGAATAGAAAAGTCAACAAAAGGTTTCAATACAAATAGATGTATTCAGAATCCTCATACATTATGAATACAAATATACCAAGCATAGTTCTTCATTCTACTGAACCCCAACCCCTCCCAAAAAAAATTATTCCATCAATTAATTAATCAATCAAAAGACAATGTGAAAAGACAATCACCAATTCCTGTACAAAATGATTCATTGAAATCTTCAAACATATTAGCACTGTACTAAGCATTCTGTGTGACACTTGAAAGTGATATTAAATTGACCTTGTATCTTGGGTGACCTCTGAATACTATTATAAATCCACAATCTAATCGTCAATTAAACAGGAAAATCCACCTCTCCTTTCCATTTCTTTTGAGAAATTATCTTGTATTGCATCATCTTAGGTGAAAGTTGTGTGAGATGTCTTCAACTTTTGTGACAAAGGCCTCCTACCCTGTTACCTTATCAATGTAGTAATATGGCATTCCAACAAACTAATGTGACCACATGCAAATGGCTGCACAACACCCTTCCATAGACCAGTGCTGTGCAAAATTTAGTGTACAGAATGATACAAAAAATTAAACCCTGAAAAAGAGACGTAGTTTTGCTAAAAAGAATTTGCCTCATCAGCTTTGTACAAATTACAAAATCCTTACAAGTTCACGTGCCCAAACAGACGTTTCTTTTGAGTGATTGTGCTTCATTCATTATCAAATCGTTTGTGTAAATTAATGTAAATTATGCATAAAATGGCAAAAATTATGATTCCAGTTTGCTAACTTTTGTATAGATCTTTAACCTTGACTGTTTTGTGTAAGGACAGTATAACGTGGATTTTGTTTACTATTCAACTATAGGCCTATGTCCATATTGAGAGGTACTATACTAAACCAGTGTTCGTACTGTCAAACAATTCATGTATAATATATACATGTAGAATGTTGCATTGCCCAATGACGCATTTTTATCAGAGGAAAGTCATGTTTGCTCATTCAGGACCAATCTTGGAATTGTTGTATACGCGAACATTTTTCTGTGTTTCTGATTATGTAAAAATAGGTACAAGTGAACAATTTGCTTGTTTTTATCATTGCAAGCCTCTTCAAAGTATTGATCGACACTAGATTTGTTTGTTCCAAGTATGATCAACATTCTGTTCAAAAACTGACATTTTTGTTTCTAACAGTTTTGATATTTTTCAGTTGCCCAGGTGATAACAGTCGTTTATAACATGCCCAAATGGAACCGTTCATTTTGGTAAAAGCAGTTCTGCAGGAGAGAAAAGGTAGACTTTGAATCAACATTTTGATTTATTCACATTGGAAATGTAAACTGAATGTAAATAATGTTTAACTGTTGTTGCTGGCATGACACATGAAAGAAGATTTTGATTAAAATGAGATTTAAACACTGTATTTGCAAAGCCGAACTGATTGCAATTTTAAATGATGGGGATTTTTGTACTCATTGATTTACACATTTCAAGGGATATGGGATGGGATCATTTGCATTTATCCCAAAAGTAACCTACCGAATTGTAATCAAAAAGCTCACTTGGATTAAAGATCGTACTGGTACTAAACACCCTGTGAAATTATTCCATCTGGCTTGCTGTCATTGAGAAGAAATCGAGAAGCGTAGGTGATTTCCAATGATCAGTCAATTGACTGGTTTTAAGAGTTCTGTGGACGAAATCAAAAATGTGTGCATGGTTATTTCACTCTTTTTTTAAAAGTGTAATATCCAAAGCTTCAACATGTTAGGTTTAGAGTATTCTTCTGTGGAACTACGTGAAATACAAATGTTCCTATGCCTTTAAGCCATTGTTTACAAACTACATAATTGTGATTTTTATCTTGTGATCATTAATGTGCAACTCTGTAAGATAAGGTCATCACTCGGGCACAAACTCCAAGTCAAAATAATCTGCTGACTTCTGGATTGTTTGGTTTCTGTCATAAAAACAAACCACAAAGGAGAACTACAGTCAATTTGTTTATTTAACTTGAAAATAAGATTTGAAGGTTTGCATGGTGGAAAGATACTTAGACAAGATAAGTTTGTGGTAGCACCATGTGAATAAATCAGTCAACTTGCATCCTCAGCTTCACCGGTTTCGAGCTTCACCAGTTTGCATCCTTCTCATGCCTCACTGCACCCATCCTTATAACATCGCATCATCGTTGGAATCCCTCATTCTTCTGACGACGGGCAGAGCATACTGTTCGAGACGTTGAGTCCCTCCGGTTCTTTTCAGAACCACACATATACTCACAAAAGAGATTTATTCACATGGTGCTACCGCAAACTTATCTTGTCTTAACTTGAAAATAAAATTTAATATCTGATATTTGCACCGTTGGGGAAGTAAGTTTATTGGTTAACTATGAGTAGAGATATGTTGGAATTTGTAAGTCATTTGTATTATTTGTTATTGGTGCGAAACATTTCTGATCTCTTCTTGTGTTTTTCCAGATATTTTGGGCAAAGTTTAAGACGTCCGGGATTATTATTTGACACTGTGTACTTTGTAAGATTATTTTCGTGTAATAAATCATTGCATACAATGACTTGAGTCAATCAAGGAGAAATCTTTGAGGTTAGATGATTGTTGTGTTATGCCTCCATTCCTCCTTCAGTGATGGACCAATCTCCCGCCTCTGAATTCTACAGCTGGGTCACCACTTGGGTTTTGTAATCAGGCATGCAGGCTTCATAATGAGGATAGCAAAAGAAATTCCTTAAAAAATATCAACCAACCCAATTTACTTCATGCAATTAAAAATATGATTACACAGCTAAATCGCTGATGGATCCAGAAGCATTTATTGTTGGGGGATTCAGAAAGTGGTAACCGACAGGCCAGTTGTTGCCAATTCCTTATGTGGAGGGGCGGGGCTAGATTGCATTTTATGGGAGGGGTGCAGTGTTTCCTTTCTTTTCTTTCTTTGTATTATAAAGTGGCAACGGGGATGAATAGACTACAATTTCGCATTAAAACAGTCGTCTTCACTTGTTCCATGGTGGATTAATCTTCAAGGCATTTCTGGTGGCCCCACTTCGGTCTGCAAGACAATAGCTTCTTTGATTAATTCAAGACAACTTCAAATAAGTTGCAGTTGTCTTGAATTAATCATTGTTTGATTACATTGTTTTGTTGTGGACCTGTTGCGTTTTGCTGTTGTGGGCTTAGCGACACCACGGTGACTCATTTGAAAACAAAAAGCCTTTTTAAAATATTTTTCTAGCACCCAATGAACACCAAAAAATAGAACTTTACCTATTAACACCCCCCTCTTCAATTCATCCCCTTTCATGAATTCATGATAATAGTGTAGGCCCCACTACCAATAAACAACTCTACTTTAAGAACAAAACGCACTTTTTGTTTCACTTCCCTTCGATATTCCCTAAAAAATGTTTTTGTAAAATTAAATTAAGCTGTCTTCATTGTTTATGGGTTGGAGGTGGGCAGGCATGGATTCGGGGGGGGGGTCAAAACGCCCC